TGAATCCACTATTCATGTATTAAATGTCTTGCTAATTTAGCTGTGAGTTAAATTACGAAGGATGTACAAAAATTTGTGCGGGGCTGTCGGAAGACTGATTTAAGGAGGGTGTGCCGAAGTGAAGTGAGCTATGACGAAATGGCGCCGCACCTTATGCTGCATTGTAGCATTCAGTGGATATGAAACACATTGCAAGGCCTTTTGATTTTTCCCAGAAAATAAAAAAATTACATGAGATTTTCGACATGATTGATGTGCATCCTCTTGGATGTATTGCGAATTTTGCACCAAATTAGACTCCTGGGCAAAACATAATTGCACAGTAATATTTTCGCACATACCAGAAAATTTGAAAAACGACTTATTTGAAAGCAGTAACAGCTTTAGAACATTACTAGCAAGCTACACTGTTGAATTAAAGCTCTAGAAAGCATTAAGAAGCTACATATTTAACTTAGGGATTCCCATTTTTGGCAATTTCGGGTGGGGCGTTGCCGTCGTATTCATAGATCTCAATGAGAAACCCATCAGCGATGCTTTGAATGAAGTACTCGAAAATAACAAGTGCGTATATACCTTAGATGTTGATTCTTCCAGAACCGCCATGAACACAGTCCTTTTCCTTCATTCTCCAGATACATGCAATCAAAACGCTTGCGTGATCAGCCACTGCCACCGATGGATATGGTAAAGTACTGGGTTCATTACGTCCTCCACCATGACGGTGCAGAACATCTCAAATCACCGGGACCTAAGCTTCGTACAGTATCACAATCTCGATGATTATCTTTCCATTCTGACAGTTGTTGCAATATTGCTTGAGCTTCCAATCACAGTGATTAAAGCCGGTTACAAACGGGTTGTTAAAAGCAAACCTAGTGTGAGCAGTAAAAGCAAGAAAAAAAGTGAATTGATAGGTGAAGAAATATAATGCTGACCTAGAACAAGCTGCACACGTTTGAAACCCGAATCTCATTTGTAGACTAGTTAAATTCACGCGAACTCATTTATTAAAAAGTGGCGTCTCCAGTGCACTTAATCCTTATGATGCTTGCAATTAGTTATCATAGTATAATATACAAACTACAAGAAAGTGCTCCGAAGCAGTTCTGTAAGCGGTCACAGTAGTCGTCTTATTATCTGTAATAATCTGTTGCCTTTCCTTCTGACTCTCACAACACAAGCTATAAAAATATAGTACCAAACTAAAATGTCATATGACAATGTCGCCGAAGAATGATCGTTTTCGTGTTATTTTTTTCTTATTATGAGAGCTGCTCATGTCGTGCTTGTTGCAATCATCAATATTTTAATATGTAAAGATAAACGTAAGGAAACATTGCTGATCAGAAATAGTTGAAATACATACAAAATAGAAGAATTAGAACGAAATGACGCTTTTAATATGATAGTAATTTGCAGAGTTGCTTCCACTCACTTGCTATAAAACAATGTTTTTCGGAATTATGAAATCATTAGATGATGTAATGATATGTTGTACTTGTAAGTATCAAGAAGAGTGTGTAAAGTATGTGTTTGACTCATAAAACTTGTCAATTTCGCTTTCAAAGCGTCACAATCAGCGATCTTATGATTCGCGAGCGTTCAATCAGAGTGAGCGCTCACGAATCGTTAAATCGTTGATTGTGACGCACTGAAAGCAATATTCACAGGTTTTATGTGTCAACTACATACTCCACAACCTCTTCTTGTAACTTACAAGTACTAATTACCATTATAACATCTAATGTTTTCATAATTCGGAAAAACATTTTTTTATAGCAAGTGAGTGGAAGTAACCCTGGTTATTTGACAGAATTCCTTTTACGCTAATGTTCTCGTGCTGTGCGAAGAGAGGTAATGGTATGTAAAGAGACTGTACGAAAATAAAAATAAAAGACCATAGCCCACGACAACTCTGCTCAAAGCTGGCAATCGTGGAGAATAGAAGAACTATGAGAGTGATGATGGTTTCAAAATTTTCTACGTTAAGGTATACGAGTGCAATCTTAAAATGCTATTTGCAAATGGAGCATTTTATTAAAATCTGGTTAATGCTAAGCTAGTAGAAAACTTAAGGACTACTTAATGGACATATAATTTAGAAAAAATAATTTCTTTCCAGATTTTTAAGTGTAGACATATTTAGATTTCATCTTTTCTACAACTAATTAAGCTCATGTGCAGCGTCAGATCAAAAGTTTGCCCCTTGACATACGATTAAAGGAACTGCGGATTATTTTCATCCAATTGCAAGAGCATACTACACGGGAAAAAATACATTCCGAAATTCGTCAACCTCCAGTCACGAATTTCGGAACAAGCTGATTTTTCATTTACGAATATACACCATGAATAAAAATCATGAAATCCTGAACATTGTTCAGGAAAATAAAAATAACGCCTGCATCGTAACGGTGCACCATGCACCAGAGAACGCATGTCATGAAAACGTGAACTCTTTTCCTGATAACCGTGATTTAGTTCAGGAACCCATGATTGAAGTTCACGAATTTGGGATGATTCGGATCACGAAAACAGGAACATAGTTCATGGACTGTTTTTGACAGCTGATGTTTATTTATGTGTTGACTTAATAAGCTAGCTGCTATATTTATCTACGTACCGAGCTAGTTTTTGTTTTCGTTGAATGGCACACAGGATTATCCAGGAGAATGACGGTTTGGGGGACCGATTCCAGAATTAAATCCACTGGAATTTCTAGCTGCGGTCGGCAAAGAGATGGAGTAGTAACTATCTGCATGGATATAACCAGCAAGCTGGATGATTCCTGAAAATTACATTGTTGTACAGCTTCAAATATTTCCTGCAACTCGAACATCGTGGAGACTAATCGTTCTTCGTAGATAAAATTAAGCTCAATATTGTTGTCCTGAGAGTACAGATTGTTAATTGCTGTAAATTATTGTTAATGTTGTATGTTCGAGAACAGTAGTGGTGAATATTTACCGTCATCTTCCTCTTCAGGATCCTCAGTTCCTATAATGCTTCCCGTATCGGATAAGTTCATCGCCAGGCTCGGAGATATTCATCATCTCGGCTCATGTCTGGATTCGTGTGGTAATCTCTTTGTAATCTCTCAGTGTTATATTATAAAGTACGGGCCGTTTTTTCATAAATAATGGCCTTTGGATAAACCGTAGGTGCATGATAGCCCCGGAAATAAACGCTTGGCTTAACAACTATCTTACCTGAATGCAAATGAGGACGTATCTTGTAGACTTGCTATTTCTTCATTCATATTTGTGATTTTTTGCGCATGCTTTACTTTAGTGTAATGACAGTCTTATCATCCATTTATGGACAACGTTCAAGAGGGCAGGAATAAAATCACGTTTATAGGTTTATGAAGTCACTATATCATAATTTTTGTATGCGTTACGAAATGGTTTGTGGTGTTGAGCACTCATTCATTTAGCTCATGAAATTGTGACTGTTTTCACGAATGTTGGATTTATTAAATAACGTTTATGGGAATCAAATCATGAATGCGAAGCAGATGTAAGTTCACGTAATCGTGATTTTTTGTTCACGAAAATAGGAATGTTTTTTTTTTGCGTGTATAGATAAATAAAAATTTGAGTTCATCAACATAACGTTGTGTTATTCCAATAATAAACTATGCTTATACTTTCTGGGACACCCTATAATACAATGTGGCAGAGTGACTTACGCGATTGAAGCAAAAGTTCCATTAGTTGTTCTTTATGGAGCGATTTCCCCCGAAAATCATCTGTCTTACTGAGAAAATTTGACAACTATTCCTCTAGCAGTTCCCACTTCAAAATGTAGGTGGCGAAACATCACGAAAGATTCACTGCAATACGCTTATTAAAAGTTGAGTTATTTTTAAACAAAAAGTGTGAATAATTTATCAATTATTGATAAAATAGCAAGTTGCCATTATCAGCTAAGTTTTTTTTTCACAACAAGCATCTAGCTCACATTTGTAGGAGGATTAATCACTGAATTGTTTATACCATAAGGTGGAGTTTGGCAAACCAAAAATCATTCCTGAAAACATCAAACTTCTACAAGCAACCATTTCAGCGCAAATAATACAACGTACGCTATATTCGTATGATATTCGTGGCACCACTGTGCATCGCCGGGCCCATTCTACTAGTTCCAAATGAATATTTGTAAAACAACAAAATGAACTTCAAAGACTTTCTTCCCCTCCTGGAACAAACACGACCTACAAAGTGTTCTTTTAAAGTAACTATTTGTATACTATTTCCACTGCTATAGAAAACCCCGTTGACAACACATCCGTCATCACCGAACTAACCATTACAAGTCGGCCAATGCATGTAATCAAAGAGGAAAACATTTAACCACCCACGCCTCTTACTGCAGTATATATCATTGATTAGAAACGACAAGTTTAACAACAGCTTTGGTGGTAGTCGTATCATTTGCATTCGAAATATATCATTACATTAGAAACCTCGTTATAGAGTTGCGCATCACCGGATATCTACCCTAAACAAACATCACGCCATCAAAAAAAAATACCGGCTGGGATTGAATCCAGTGAGGTTGGGGGTGAGGATGTAATCTCTCTTACCATCGGTGACAAAGTCCAAAATTCCGGAGATTTTCGTAGATTTCCTAGAACTTTAGACTTTGTCGTAGGAATGTGCAGAATATCTAGTTGAAGTACTGAAAAAGCCTGCTTGTCAAATTCACGAATTGAGAACGGAAAACCTTTGAAAAACCACATCGGGCATTTTACCCTAGAGTGCATGTTGCAATGTCCTCACAACACAACAAAGCTGAAAATTATCTCGTTATTATAGTTGAATTAATATCGCACACCGTTCAATGCAAACAATTCCCCTGTTTTGGAGTTTGCCACCTGCCTTCCTTAACCCTACACACACCTCCCCTTTAATTGCCGGTCCTTCAAGATGCGCTGTGAAGCCAGTGCCGGCTTCCAGCGATCGGAGGTTTTGCCAATCGCTCGCGACAAGTCGTAGTGAGAGGACGCAAATTTTAAACTGCTGTAGGAAATCGCTAATCGCGTGTGATCATTATCGTTTTTCTTTATTTTTCAATCGGTTTGTTGTGTCGTTCTGTCTCTTGTTTAGAAACTGTAAAAAGTGCATTGCAGTGCGTTTCAGTTGACCTCGGGAACCTATCGCAGACTAGAAAAAAAATCTAAGCATAAGATCTGCTAAAAGTGTGGCGCAAGCAATGCTTTCATCGCTGAGTTCCTACATTTGGGGTGAGGCGGAGAGTGGCAGGTAAGAAGTTGTTGAAAACCGAAATAAAGTTAACCTTCAATACCAGTCTACAATTGTGGAGCGAAACTGTGAGATGAGTGCTGCTGGTTGGCTTGAAGTAAGAAGAGGAAACTAGTTTTGTGTTTGAATCAGCTGCGTGTCATGAAGGGGGTACGGCAAACATGCAAAAATGGAAGATAAATAATTGTCATGGCGTAGCCGCTCAATCCGGTTTGTTATTTGTATTTGCGATTATTTAGGCAAAAGAAAGAAGATTATTTAACAAGGTTAAACACATAAATGATATTAAATGTGATGATATAAATGGTAAATATGATATTCTATAAATAAACCACTTCCACCGCATTTGAAATAAAAGTGTTAATCAACCACGAAAATATTGATGTCTATGTTTCAAACGTTGACTATTTTCTTGGAGTAAATATTTGTGTTGCATCTTTCTATTGATCATTAACAGTCCGGGTCACTCGTGGCATGTCCGAGAATGACATTTGAACTCGTGACTTTGACGTGAGAGGTATGATTGCTAACCACTGCACTGAATTGATTAAAGCAAACTAATTAGTATTTTATGCATATTAGGGTAGTTACAGATTACAACAGAACTGTAAACCAGAATTTTGTCTTACCTCATTGGACACTATAAATCCTTTAAAAAAGCAATATTAAAAAAGCACATGCAAGCAATGTTTCGATTAGATAACGATCTTTAGTTAATTCTTTGTTAGCAAACTTATATTCGTCAAACAATCTTGAGTGTGCATTTCAAGCAGAAAATGTGGTCACGCAAGTACATGTAACTATTTCTACAAAGTTTGTAGAAAACACGCCTTAATGAGAGAATAAAAAGTTTGTATAGGGTAATTTACGAATTCTCGTCGATTTATGGGCTTTTTCTTGTCGCAACGCACACATATGCAGTGTTTGTTTGTTTACATGCATCTGCTGCCTGCTGTTTCATCCATTCCAGTCAATAGAATTATTCAAAATGTTATAGAACACTTTTACAGCGCTCCAAACTTCTCAGGTTAGTAGGTTAGTGTGACTAATGTTGGCAACCTCTTTTTCCATTTGAACTGCGTGTTAATCTGCTTCTTTACTGTCGAGAATTTGAAATCAGTAGCATTTTCTAGTGCATATGTGTTTAATTTCAAGAAAAACCTTACAAATTGAGCTTTCCGGTCGTAAAAGCCTAATCAGATTGAAATTGAAAGACTTAGGATTCGATTGAATACATTCAGCAAAGTGTTTTTGTATGAAAATGCAGTTTTTTTTCTTCTTGATTTGTTTTCCGTTAATCTTGTTTTCCGTGCTGAGCACCAATGTGCACCAATGCTACTGACGCACAGTGGGAAATGCTTCAGGGATCAAAAAAATTACGTTTTAGATTATATCGAAGTGTAAGCTGATGTATGGAGCCATTTTTTTCCTAATTCTCCCCTATTTATGTATCAGTAGTGTTACACGGTTATACGCGTTAGTGCCTGTCACACTATACCCTCGTATACTGTATTACTGTAAAATGACTGAGGAATCGAATGGAGATGGTTTCATCGTGAGAAAATTTCAGTAAATTACTCATTTTGCCCAATTACCCCCTTTTACTGAAGAAAACAAGTCATGATATACTTTTTTATGAATTAAGGCATGTTATTTTGATCACATCAACATATTACCAATTTTTCCCGATTATCCCCTTTAATTTAATAAAGCAAATGTTATTCGAATTCACGCATGTTGTATTGAATATTTGTTTATTATATCATTGTAAAGCATAAAAAAAACTTGTCTCATCTTGTTCAGACTTTGAATAATTAAACATTTTACCCGAATCTCACTTTTATTGAAGAAAAAAAGTAAAATCATATGATTATACGCCACATTTATATTAAACCCTCAAGCACTGTCCTACTCAAAACATCTAATGGTGATAATCCCATCTTAAGTGAACCTCACATACCGTAGAAATAGCATTCAATAACTTTATATATCACATATTATTAATTATTTCATAAGTTGCACAATTCGTGTTTCGTGTGTAAGGAAACAATCAATCAATTTTCTAAATATCAGCTTCTTTCCAATTCAGTTCCGTTTCAACTGATGCTACTAGGTAATCCCTTACAGAGTATGTTCCTTACCGCTATTATTTTTATCTTTATCCCTCCAAATGATCATTTCTATGAACCAGTAAATAGAAAATACAAAGATATTGGATTTGATGAAAACTAATGAAAAATATATACCCTGCTGAACAAATCGATTATGTTTACGATGTGTGTAATGTGAAATCATATATTCATGGCTTACTCAAGGAAAAGACGTGACAGTTTATCTTTTTAACAGTGACAGGGTTAGATTCAAGGTTCTGCATTTTCGAAACAAAGAAAAGAAAATGAACTCTCCGCAAAATCGCTTCATTTCGAGCAATATCATTTTCGGTAAGTCATCGTGTATCTTGTTATCGAGTCACGATGAACATTCCTCTTTTCACACATGACAGGACTATCACTTGTTTCATTCGTTGAGTGCTTCAGTTCATTTCATGTGAAACAAAGACTTGTTTCAATTGACGCAATGAATGCCTCGAAAACTGCTTCCTTCGTGTTTTCCACTTTCACTTCAATTCGGGGCTCATTCGACTTGTCATGACCTGACGACGCAGGCATCAAAATATAGTATCCTGATAGTATCCGCACAATATAGTTTGCCGATAGGGAAGGCATCCAGATTAGGTGTAGTAATAGTATATTATTTTATACTGAACGAAAATTAAATTAACGAGGCTATTCTGGACTTCAAGATGGTGGTCATCGGGGTCAGGGAAAGTCTCAAATACCCCACAATATGGGTATTTTCGGAACGAGGACGACATGAAGGTGCGAAAAATCGCTATTCTGCGTTATTTGGGAATCCAAAATGGCGGCCATCAAGTTTCCTAAAACGTGTCAAATACCCTAAGATATGGGTATTTTCCGAACGGAGACAACGCTTGGCTGCCGAAAATCGATATCTTCATGTTGGACTCCAATATGGCGTCCATAGGGTTTCAGAAAAGATGTCGAATAAACTACAATACGGTTAGTTTCAGATCAGGGACAACACGTAGATGCCGAAAATCGATATCAGATACCACTTTGGAATCCAATATGGCGGCCATCAGAGTTCAAAAAGTGTCAAATACCCTACAATATGGGTATTTTCGGAATTAGGACAACGTGTACATGCCAAAAATCGATATTCGATGCCATTTTGGAATCCAATATGGCGGCCATCGTGTTTCATAAAAGTGTCAAATACTCTGATATCTGGATATTTTCGGAACGGGGACCACACGTAGATGCTGAATATCGATATTCGATGCCATTTGTAGGATATTTGACACTTCTTCTTAAATTGAATTTCAAGATGGCGTCGCACATCGATTTCTGGCTTTTAGAAGTCAGCCCGATTCCAAAAAAGACGGCGTGACATCAATTTTCGGGATCTATGTCTCATCCCCATCCTGAAAATACCCATATTTTAGGGTATTTGACACTTTTCCGCAAATCGGAAGCCGCCGTTTGGATTACAAAATGGCGTCGGATATCGAATCCCGGCTTCTAGACGTTACCCGGTTTCTTTAAAAAAAACCGTTTGTATGGGTATTTCCGCAGTGATTTGAGATTTGGGCATAATTGCATTTGTAAACAAACACGTCAATCACCGATTTCTCGTGAATAAAAGCTCAATCTCGAAAACTACAAACGCTATGAAGTACAGGAATGATTCCTCTATTATTTGGTATAGTTTGTTTATTAAATTGAGCTTTATTTCAAGAGAAATCGGCAATTGACGTCTTTGTTTACAAAATCAATTATGCCCAAATCTCAAATCACTCCGGGTTTGATGGATTACAGAATGGCGTCGGATATTGATTTCCAATCTCCAGACGTCACCCCGATTCCAAAAATACCGGGACGGCATCAGCATTTCCCATTTTTTTTTCTGAAATAGGAAGCCGTCATATTGGATTTCAAAATGGCGTCGGATATCGATTTCTGACCTCTAGACATCATCGCGATTCCGAAAATACCTATATTGATGGATATTTGACAATATTTCCCACTTGTTCTGGAAACGGAAGCCGCCATCTTGGATTTCGAATTGGCATCGCATATCAATTTTCGATCTGTAGACTTCATACCGTCTACAAAAATACCAATATTGATTAATATTTGACTGTATTTCCACTTTTTCGTAAATCTGAAGCCGCCATCTTCGATTTCAAAATGGCGTCGGATATCGATTTTCATCCTCTAGACATTATCCCGATTCCTAAAATTCCTTTATTGATAAGTATTTGACAGCATTTCCCACTTTTTCTTAAACTGGAAGCCGCCATCTTGGATTGAAAAATGGCGTCGCATATCAATTTCTCTAGACGTCACTCCGATTCAAAAAGTACCCATATTGATGGGTAAACAAACCACCCAACAATGATAAATTTTACAACCACGTGCACAGATCTATGCCCACACGCTTAAATGAACCGAGTGAACAATTAACATAAGTCATAAAACCAACAAACAATTCGAAACTAATGATTTTAAATTGGCTCACTACTTGATTAGCCTATTGGTCCCAAGCAAATCGATTAACGGACCCCATTCTAGTATACATTCCAGTACTACACTAGGTACTACACTATGTTTGTTTTGATTCGCTATGAAAGATTGACAGATAAAATGAGGGGTTCGTGGATTTTCCTATGTTTCGAGGGGTGCATCGATTAGCTTGGGACCGAAGATAGTACCAGAGCTGAGCCAAAAAGTTGAGCTCGTTTCTTCGGGACCTTCTGGTCTTAGAGTTACCTCTATGATAAAACTGCGCGCATTTGGATCAAACAGCTTCGCTTCAATGCAAAAGTAAATTTTCCTAACTCATAAGATCAAAGTACTTGTTTAGGAATTTCCACACCAAAATTATAATTAGTAACATCTCTAATACTTATTCTTCAT